ATAACCCTTGACAGGCTGATTGCAAATGTAGCACATCATAGCTCCACAGGGACACAGCATCTTGTTACATCCCTCTTCCTTGAAGAAGGCCCTCTTGCACTGATAACAAGTACGTGTCAGCGCTTGGGTCATCTTCTCCTCGATGTACTTCCTGGCCTTGTCTTTCTTATCCAGCTCTCCACACTTGTACGGCACATGATTCGGTTCCTTGCACTGAATACATGACTCCTTCATACATTCAGGGTTCAAGCACTTGAAGACTTTATCTCCTTCTGCCGGAATTGAAGCAAAGTGGCAGAATGGACAAGAGACTAACCCTTCCAACCCAGCTGCCATGACCTCTGCAGCTTGCCGTTTCTTTAGCAAAATGCTGAACTTGGTCGGCGGAAGAACATGCTGTAGAGTAGATATACTGAATTCACTTCCACAGTTAAGGAAGCATGGGACACGTGTCTCGCCGTCTCCTAGTCTTGTGTCGGTTCCCTTAATAACGCAGGAATTGCAAAAAACGTGAGTATTTTCGCACGTTGAGCACTGGGAAGGCATGCATTCGTCGTCGAAGCAACACTGACATGTCCACAAGCTCCCAGCAGCCTTTAGAGAATTGAATTCCTCCTCTTCTCTTTTTTTTGTCATCTCCATATGATCGTGGATCTCCTGGTAGTGACGGACAAAAGCCATCTCCTGGAGCAATGAAATATCCTCAGTAGGAATCTCGTTAGCGCGGCGAGGAGTTACGATGAAATCCGATGAATTTCTCAGTTCTTTTGCAGCGAGACTCAAAATGTGGCTGAAAATTAATATAGTTTTTTACTTTATTAAAAATTAAAAAAAAATCAATAGGCAATTTAAAGTAAAAATAAAATTTTTAAACAATTTTGTTTAATTATATTTCTTAAATTGTGGCTGAAAATTAATTTAATTTATTTAGAATTCATTTAATTTAATTGTTTAAATCGACGTCCAGGTTATTTTAAGAAGCAATAATACGAAAGTAAATAAAGCTATCTATTGCTATGTCAGTAATGCGCTTAGATTAAGAGCATTCCTTTTAAACGAGTGACATTCCCTCATAAGGTATATCTCAATGTATTAACCTTCTGTTGTGTATATATGTTTATTGTCAATCTTATTTTTGTATAATTATGTGTAACTACACTATATCTCCCCTTGCTATGGGTATTGTATGCACCTTAAAAGCAATAAAGAATTATTATTATTATAATTGTTTTTTTCTATTGTAAGATATTCTGTTAATAAAATTTTTTCAATTTTTTGTTCATCTTAATAAAAGGATCATACGCACATAAAATTAAAAAAAGATCAATAGACAATTTAAAGTCAAAAAAATCAAAGAAGAAAATTTTTAGTAATTATTTAAAATCATATTATTCGATGAAGAAATTAATTTAAGTGAAGTCCACTCTATTTTTGGCCATATCTGGAGAATAATCACATTTTTTAATTTTTTTTTATTCTGCTTGCTTTTACGGCGCATTTATTATGATAAAAAATGTCGTGAAAGAAAAAATTAAAGATTTCGATAACTTTTTTGTCTTCAAAAGTTGGAAAAAATTTCATCTCTCATGTTTTTGGATAAAACTTCTATTAAAATTAATTTTTTTTTTAAAGAAAAAAGTTGAATATCACAACTTTCAAAAACATTAATAAATTTTTTTGAAAATTTGTTAAAATTCTGAGTCAACTTTTTTTAATTATTTATTTTTT